AGTTCAACCGGGTCAGTTGTGAGGTAGTAACTCACTGATGACAATGGTGGATATGTCGCTCAATTTCGTGGATTAGTTGAAGTTAGACATTAACACCACTGGATGCCGGCCAAGTGGTCTAGTTGGTTAGGCGCCTGGCGCGAGACTGGTAGGACCTGGGTCCGAATCCCTCGGGGAGGGGTCGTGGATGTGCACTGCCGAGGAGTCCCACAATAGGACGAAACGGCTGTCCAGTGCTTCCAGGTTTTCCATGGTGGTCAAGCTTCAATTTACTCTTGATCTCAACTATTGAAATTAAAAAAATACTGTTTTAAATACTACTTTACATACCTATGATATATTGTGTTATAATCCCAAATTATCTACTATAAAACTGAAGTTTTTCCGTGACACAGTTTTTTAACATAATTTTATAGCTCCATAAAGTTTTTGTCATTTTTCTTGATAACGAGATGTCATCACGAATATTAACATCAGTTGAGCGTTACATGACTGAAATTCACACTTGTTTTTACGTTCAGCTATTTCAAATTCAGTGTAGAACTCTAATACTTCATAATTATACAACGACTGTAATCAAACGCCACAATGACGTATGCCACATTATGTGACATTGACTGTTAGTCATCTGAAAATGGGTTGACCTATACATATCTTCAGTTCATTTAACTTTGTAGATCACTTCATTTATCATAAAGGAGTATCATTTATTAAATAGATTGTCATTCCGTTTGTGTGTATAAATCTCGTTATGAATTAATGACTAATTTTCTGTCTTACTACTTGTAGGAATCATACAAATATCGAAAATGAAAAACTGGCATCTATTGACATTCGTGATTTATTCTGGTTAAACGAGGGAACTACTCGAAATTACCACAATTCCAATTTTATTTATCTGAACAAAAATTTAATATAGATCATTTTATTTTGACTTAAATTGTCCATTTACTATAATGTGCTATGCAAGAAACATGTTTCCGTCTATTTTTTTATTTACAAGAAGGTACAATTATTGGGTAAAACATAATAATAACCGTTAAGTTAGATAATACCTATTCTTTCTTTTCTTATTGTTACTTTAAAGGAACCAAGCGTTAATTGTTAAAATTAACTTATAATAATTTCTTAAAAATCTTGTTAAATTCCTTACAAGCCAAAACGAAATCATCATACACAAGCTTTTTCAATTCCTGCGACATGATCAAGTCATTTTCATTGGTTGATAGTTGTGTTACTGTCTACTTAACGCGTAAAGAAATGTGTCAGCAACTTCAATTGCGTCATTTCCTTAACCGTCTTTAGAAATCTCTGATGAGGGAAGATCATCGAAGATGCTTCATAATGACATTATAACAAAATGATAACATATTGGGGTAACTGGGTTAACTCATTGGATAATTCCTCCACAGGTTCGATTACAACAACCTAATAAAATAAATTTTAGAAGACAGGATCACTAACTAACTGACAGAATATATATATATATATATATATATATATATATATAGTTTAGCTCAGAAAGAATACTTGTACTTGATTTGAAAAATAGGTTCAAAATAATTAGACATCAGTTATTGTATATTTATTTCATACAATCTAGTAAATACGCATAAATGAATTCTACTGAGTTTTTTTTTCTGGAAAAAAGTAATTCGTTAAAATGTGTATACTCATTTTATGTCGGCTTGGCGTATAACGCAAAATCTCACTACACATCGATCAAATAATCCCAGGGGATTGTAACAGCACAAATATTATGTGAAATATTGTGGTTATTGAGGTGGCCGAACATATACTGTTAAGTGATAGAAGCAAACCTCCCACCCCACTAAATGAATATAAGTTTGGCTGATGACAGTTATCATTTATGTACGAAATATTCAACAAAGGTAACATAACTGCAGATTAAGTAGGTAGAAAACACGGTTTTCGGATTACGATCACTGGAACTTTCACTTCGTGTGACATCAATGTGAAACAATCCATGAGTTAATCAAATACTTGCGGTAAATATTTTTATCACTTATTGTCCCGTCTATGTGATAATTTCACGTGAAATAGACTGTTTTTTTGGAGTATCACTGCTTTTAACAAAATTAATTAACTGATATCCAGTCGTACGACGGTAAAAGTTATCGACAATTCTTTTAAGTTTATATACTATTTAGACAGTGACTGTTTAATTCGAATCATGGTTCTACCATAGTCAATTCGTTCATCATTCAAAAAAGTTTTTCGAAGTACAGACAATAGCTGATAAACCTTTGAAAATCTAGGTGCATCGGGATCCCTGTCCATAAAGTGTCGGGGGCTCTCAGTAAGGTGAGCTGACAACCCAATACATAACTTTCACTACCAGATCCCATGATGAACCGATATCATCCAGCCATAATCCAGTGATCCTTAATTCACTTAATTCCTTTCTCCCATACAAGTTGATTCAGTTCTGTCAGGTTCGACTTCTCATAAAAATTTATCGAGAACAATTTTAAATGTAGTCGTTAGTGATCATAAGACAATTGTTTGTTTGTAGAAATTAGCTCAGTTAGAAGATATTTGTGCCATATGTCAGTGCTGATCCGTACTAAATGTCGAGTGAACTTGATATCCACCAGTTATGTTCAGTTGTATAAAGTTTATGTCATCATGTTATTTAGATATAATATTGATTATATCTGCTTAATTTTAGTCAATTCTCGGTATAGCTTGATCATCATCCAATTATTATTCGCTATTTAATTAAATCATCTAGGCTTATAATAATAAATATAAGTTCAATCTCTCACGTATTTTTACCAATCTGTACATCTCATTGCTATTAGCTCAAAAGTAACACGCTATGAAATAATCTTAAAAAAACTTTATTTAGTTAGATGACCTTAAATACCTGCAGGTAACCTTGACCGCTGAAAACAAGGACACTGATTTGAATAAAACATAAAATACTTGTCCTTTTAAAAAGCAATCAATATGGTTTAGAAGACATGGTTAACATTCTGTTTAAACACTCTATTTTACTAAGTCTATTTATAGATTGATGATACTGAGCTTATTATTGTTTAAATTACGTTCTGGATTTAAACAAATACCAAACTAAACAATAAATCTACTGGGTTCTTTTTCCAAGACATTAAAATAAACATTTAGTTCCGTTCGTTTATTCAGAAATAAAAAATATTTCAAATTCTATTCATGAAATTAAAAACCTCTAATCTCTGATAACTTTGTTGTCTTGCTTTAGAATTAACATACTGTCAAGGGAGAATGAATAAAAAAGAACGATTGAGTTCCACTTTTCCATCCGATTCAGAGGCGTAAAAGGAACTAATAATTTATTAGGCACTTAGTTTCATGAAATAATATGGGAAATAGATCAAGATTAACAATGAATAATCATCAGTATACGACAAAATTGTCCGGACGTTCCATGTACCTATAAAAATTGTTACTATGGTTGTTAGAACGAGCATCGGCCTCGTGACTTCCGAAGAATCTCGCCTTTCATCCTGAGGCGTCATAATTTTTCCTTCAATTCCCAGGGCACAGTTTAAATGGTTTAATTTGTTTAGTCTGGTTGGTGTTACCGGCCTCATGTCCAACCCTCCTCCTTTATCCGGATTTGAGATCGGCAGTAACTCTAAGAGAGCTACAGGTGGACATTCTACTGAAAGAAGAATATACTTTGGAACATAACTGGAGAAGGATCAAAGAAACACTAATTTCAACGTGTCAAGAGATTCTGGGCCGCAAAAAGCATCATCATAAGGAGTGGATCTCCATCGAAACCTTGGACAATATTGAAGAAAGGAAGAACAAGAAGATAGCAATTATCAACACCCAGACACAAGCAGAGAATGCGAAAGTACAAGCTGAGTACACAAAAGCAAACAAGCAAGTGAAGAGGAGCATTAAAGAGGACAAGCAGAAATACTTGGATGAGCTGGCAACGACGACAAAAAACCGCAAGAGGTTGTAATATGAAACATCTATATAATACAACGAAGAAACTAGCAGGGAGATATAGTCAACCAGAGACCGGTAAAGGACAAAGAAGGCAAGACAATCACGGAGATTCAGGAACAGAGGAACAGGTGGATAGAATACTTCGAAGAACTGTTGAATAGACCAGCCCCATGAAATCCACCGGATATCGAGGCACCGCACACAGACCTCCCTATAGATGTCACCGCATCAAAGACCGAAGAAATCAGGATAGCCATCAGACAAATCAAGTGTGGGAAAGCAGCAGGGCCTGACAATATATCAGCTGAAGCAGTGAGGTCAGACACTGAAGTAACTTCAAACGTGCTTCATCTTCTGTTCAAGAAGATTTGGGAGGAAATTACTCTGTAACAAATGTACTTTATGATCTGTATGAAAAATAACCACGAAAATACACTAAAATCAGCACTTATTTGTTTTAATTAGTAGATGTTGATGGTTTATCCTCACTGATAGCTCCAGGTTCTTAAATTATGATTTTAATTCTACATGAGTTATTTAAGTTATTGCTATTTATTTACAAAGATAATCAGTCGTAATAAATTATTACAGTGGATAACATTTGATAGTATTCATTGGTGAATTTAAGGTTGAATTTTTAACGTGTGTGTGTCAAAAGGCTGACATGCATGTATATTCAGCTGATTTGTCTAACATAGGATGGAAAATTTGTCCTCTATTATACTGCATTTTTTTATCTAATACAAAGTTATCAGATTTCTAAATACCAACCTGTCCTATTTGATTTTATATGGCGATGCTGTATGAATAGTTTTATTCTAATGAGTGTTAAAAAATTCACATGAGTGTGATACATAATTCTCCTGTTAAATTTGGCTAGATGACATTAAGATTTACGTACTCTTACGTATACTTGAACAATAATTACAAAAGTTTGATCAGTTCAGATTGTTTGAAAATAACATTGCTGAATCAATATTATTTAAGTATTATGTATGGAAACTTAATAACTACAGATAAAGAATGGGTTTGCACTTAAATATTATTTGTTAGTTAATACGTATTGTCTTCGTCATTTTCTATGTTTTATTAATGATAGTTACATCTAGATTCTCATTAATAATAATAGGAGTTCAGACAGAAATAGGACATGACATATTCTGTGAAAATGAATAGAAACTAACAAAACATCGTGATTTACAGCTGTTCCTCGGTTCTAAGTAGTTTTAAAGTTATATTCGGTAGTACATTCACACCAAGATTCATCATCAAAACAAATAGCAACTACCTTCTTATCAATTACACTGAACGTCAATTACACTGAATAATCCTTAATTGCGTCGTTAAAATCCCAAGTCCTTTTAATTATGAAATATATTGACCGCCCACGATTCCTGATTGACCAATAAAAACAACAACAACTGCATTGATTTTTAAAATAACCAATAAGATGTTAACAATTTCCCCAATTCTTTCATCCATTCACACAAAGCTCATAAAACCTTGATGATATTATTTCTGAAATAAAATGGAAAAGGTCTTTGATTTACAGTCGACATGATCGGCACTGAGTTCTTGGATTATTTATCAAAGTTCCAAGTCGCTACCTATGTCGGAGTTGAAGATTTTGCGGATAAATTTAATTTTCTCATAACAGTTATGGTTCTTATGCTTTGTACAACAATTGTCACTATCAAACAGTATATGATGAAACCGATTTCATGCTACATGGCAACAGATTTGGGTGGAAAAAACTTGTTAGATTATGTTGAGAACTACTGTTGGGTTCAGGGCACTGTCCCTATAGCATATTCTGGTCGAGTACCAGAGACAGATGAAGGTTGGGCGGAATTAGAGAAGCATAAACTACGTGAGTATTTAATTTTCACGTTTTAAGTATAAATTTCATGTCTTGTTGTAGGTTTATTTACGACCTCTTAAAAGTCAACTTCATCAAGAAAATTAATTATCTGAATGATTAGTAGATAATACGATTTCTGTGAGAAAAATAATGATATAAGTGCTTGTTTTACAGCTAACAACAAAGAATTATTGTCATAATTTTTTTAATCTACTATATCTTAAGTATTCACTCACCATTGAGAAGATGTACATAGGGAAAATGTAATTAATTTTTTTCTATTATCAGATTATGAGCTTATCTGTTTAGACACGTTCAGTAATTGCGTTGATTAATCTTTTGGAACACAGTAGCAACTTAAGATTGTAAATAAATTCACTCGTTGCTAGTATCTTTGTAATTAACTAAAAAACCAGTCACTAATCATTCATTTTTTCACTACTTGAGTCACTTTCATTATTGGTTATATTACAACCTATCTGTGTTGGTAGCAGTTATAGCTTGTAAGAAACATGAAAAATTAAAATTTTAGATCTCTGAGTAAATCATATTGCGGATAGATTAACAGCTACACAAGTTAAATACCAACAACTGTCCCAATTACCGTTTTCCACTTGCAAACGAGTTTCGTCGGTTTTAAGTCATATATACCTGATAATTATTTGCAATATTTCAAATCAACCATAAAACTGAATATATTCTATCTAATAAAAAAATTGATTCTAGTTTTGCAGTGGTTATGATTTATGGTTACTGTGTTTCTTGATTCGGCTTCAATTAGTAAATTATGACTAATATCAACTGCGAAAGCGTTGGAGATTAGTTGGAATTCGACATCTGCTTCGTCTCAATTCTGGGTTCATAGGCAATGAACATGCGTAACCATACATATCGACCTCTGAATCGGTGCCCGAAATTCCACTTAATTCAAGCTACAATATGTTCATCATTCCTTATTGTTGATGAGTCTCTGTTTCACACTATTGGCAAGTTCGAAAAATCAATTTTATTTAGTTAGACGTATCATCCTGAACAGAGGTAAAGTTACCTGAAATATTTCACTCTTCGAATAATGCATTTCAAAAAATGGTGGAAAACTTCCAAATATTTAACAGTTGATCAGCAAGAATTGGATTTCCGTATTTAAATAGTTTTGTGTCTGCTTCTTGTTTACTTAAGGAATCTTTATGAAATTCAAGGCCATTTCGTTTCTGACTTATTATTCTCTTGATTTGTTAATAACTTAAGATTATTTTAATCGAATCGACCACAGTAATCACTGTGATCACATACCTAGCATTAATAAAATGCAGTTCTGGAAAGCTTATGTTACTACTAAAGATCCAATTATTTATTAAATTATTCATTGATTTTATCTCTATCTTTCAACTGATTTTAAACATATATATATCAGTATAGGGTTGTGGAGACTATCGAGTTTTAATTGAGATCATGAACCGACCAATGTTAGACCTAGGTTCGAGTCCCGCGTGCAGGATCATGGATGCACACTGCCGAGAAGTCCTATACTAGAAAGAATCGACCGTCTACCGCTTCCAGGTTTTCGGTGGTGGTTTAGCATTGATTGGTTCATGGTCTCATATATATTAATTAACAGTCAACTGCTTTTATGCACTATTGAGCTGTCTATGTGTTTCTAACCGGCAAAGTGTTTAGTTCTCTTTGGCAAGTTGAGTCGTTAAACATCTTTAGTTAGATGGTTTGGCCTGTTTAATTTTGCTTTTACGACATGATAAACAATTAATTTCTGTCAAGTTAAATTGATAGGTTGTTTTGAAGAAGTCAGTACTTCATTAGTGTTTCATTAATGAGATTCATACTGGTAGCTTGTTATAGTTGTCAAATTATATAATTTTAACCTAAATCAACAAGAACGCGTCCAAATCAATATATGGTCATAAAACTATGGGACCGACTAGATTGTACAGATGAAAATTAACATTATTTTTTTTCATAACAAACAATTTTTTTTCTATCTCGAAACTACCTAAATTTCTACTTTATTTTATGTAGTGTATTATCAGTGGGTGCCATTTGTTCTTGGCCTACAATGTATTTTATTCTATTTACCTCGATTAATTTGGCAAATGATATGCTATAACAGAGTTGGGACAGATGTACATCATTTAGTTTTATGTGCTAATCAAGCAGTACATGCTAATGATGAACAAAGAACTAAAATGGTACAACACTTAGCAAAAACATTAGAACAATTATTATTTCAGGTAAGTCTACGGATGTCTATATAATGATTTTACCTAAGGATACTTTAATGTTATCAGAATTTTTGTTCAAGTGTCTTAAATAACTTCTTTTTTACTTAATTCAGTAATCACACTCATATTTATGTACTCACATTTATGAGTTCTAGTAATTCTACTTCACTTGTTATGTTGTAATAGGCAGAGACAAATTTAGATGAAGTCCTGGTGATTGAAAGTGGAGAGATTCAGTCGTTAAGTAAATGATAACGATCTCTTATAGACTATATAAAATTGATTTAACCTGACTATCGTTTCTTGATAACTACGGATCTATTTTCTATGAACTGATATTTTAGTATAACAGTTTCCGTGTTCATTGTGTTATTTCTTTAGTTGACATGGAAACAAGTCAATTCTGCTTTTTTTTCTCTATTTTGAATCAAGTAATAAGAATTTGATAGATCCTAATTTGGTGAGAAAATGTGCTCGTTTCTTTGCTTTTGCTTTGAAAATAACTAAGTTGAGACTATTCAAATGAAATTGTATTTAATACTTCAGAAATTGGTATATAAACTTCTTATAAAGCATCCAGTGTAACTAAATTGGTTATGATGAAGAGTTGTCTAGCTGTCCAGATTTTGGAAAGTTCACTACAACCAAAAATGCACTATTTGCGTGTTGAGCACCTTCATTCTAGCTAACCTAAATAGAATACATATGCATTCCAGATAATTATATTATATACTTTTAACGACTCTATATAATTGTTTTATATTACAGTATTATAATTTCACAGTGAGTATTTCTAGCTATTAAGCAAATACTTAATATTTTGCTCTGCATACTCTTCAAACTAATGACTCATGATTCTCTTAGATCTTCATAGAATTATCCAACTATCGTTTAGAATTCACTCAATAACGGTATTTTTCTCCTTAAAACCTACTAATATCCCTACATCTATCAACCGCTGAAAAATTGCTATCAAAACTGAAGCCAATCGTTTAATGAATCATACTGATTTATCTAATGAAACAAGCTTAAAAATGTTTCACCAGAGAAGCACTGCTATTTCGAAGAGAATAGGTCATCTGTTGCATTAAAGCTTAAAGTGATGATGATCTCGAATTTCAGTGATCATCTTTACGGAATTATGTCATAAATTTACTTATCAATCAGTCTTCATAATCGAACATCTATCATTATATTCAATTGTGCGGAGAATATATATATACTTTAATTTTCAACATTCGCAATGAAGTTTTACACACATGTACGTGACCATCGTCATTAAGGGTGAACCGAAATTGTCCTGACTAACACGAATAAGTGTAACTATATGTTATAATGAAGCGATATCCTAGCTAGTGGGTTACTTGTCCCAATTAGTTACATAAATGAGATTTGTCTGCAGTCAAATGTAATGACGTAATTCAATAACCACGAACAGGTTCACGTACTTTATTTTAAACCATACTTATCGTATGAACGATGCTACTCGACTGTCTGAACTGAGTCTAAAGAAGTGAATAATTTTGAATGTTAGGAAGCAAACAACAAGAATCTCTGGGCTAAGATTTCATGACGATTTGTATTAATCTACACTCTTGAAGAATGAGGCTTCAACCTATGGTACTCGGTGATGGTATCAGCAAACTTACCACTGAGCTGTTCTAACCTCGACTGACCCTCCTTTATGTTATGTCTAATCGACATTACTTACTGAATCTGTCAATAAGAATTCCTGAATATAATTTTTTTTATCTTGCGTCTACTATTCAGAATATAACCTAGCGAGTCTAACCTCGAGTACTTTATGGACAACACAGTTAGCCGTGAGCTGATATAAGCTATACTCTTATAGGTTGCCTATGAGAAAGCATTTTTCTGTCCTCAGCCTTAAGTTCGAATGGGAATCAGAAGTCAACTTTCTGTTATCCCTATATTTCAACCACCCAGTCCGGCCGGCCAGAACTGCATCTATATCAACCACTCATCGGCCCATATGTAGGGATTATGAGATTACAAGGCACACTAAATACGAAATCATAATTTCAACACAATCATCCCACTATTCGTAGCGAGTTGAGAGAACAGTATATAATTAGTTAGCAATGGTAAAACCTATAACAATAGTTAATAGATCCACTGGAATTTTATAATAAGAAGAATATAAAAATAAAATAATTCATTTATCTACTATTTATACAATAAAAATAATGATAATAATCCGAAAAATAGGTCCAAAACTTCTAACTTTACCGATACTCGTTATGGCATACAGGACTGACGTTTGGACACTAATCTGCGAGATGAGAGTAACGAACATCATAATCGAACTGAATTCTGTCGGTTAAACTACTGAAGGTTGTAAATAACTTCTAGTTGTTGGATGGAGGCTAACAGTAGGATTGAAAGTGGGCATTTAGCCATACAAATCTGCTTAAAATAGTTGTAAATAAATGATAGTGTGGGGACAACCCGCACAGGAAGCATATATTCCAAAAGAGACTGATAAGTTGCAATCCTAAACATCATTATTAAGATCCAAACAACCAACGCAAATGAATCAAATTATACATGTTTATTGATTAGCTTGAAAATATACTCTGTTTTTTATAAGCGAGAATGATTTAAAGTGACTTATTTTAAAACAATTTTCAGCTTTATAGAATGACCACATCAGAGTAAGTTTTTTTTTAAGATCCCAAGTTGGAATGCAGACCTACATTCTATTATCACCCAGTTACCTCCTGGATCATTTTACAACCAAAGTTCATCCTAAGCTTTTGACCAATAGCTTCTTATTCGTTTCCATCTATTTGAAATAAAGAAGACACACATTTTTCAATATTATAACTGCTAAAAAGAGCCTAGAAACATCCTAACGAGGAAGACCGAGGGAAAAGAAGTTTACTTCTTGGATTCCACTGATGGTTTTTCGTAAAACTACACAGTACAGATATCTCAAACATTAACATCGTTTATTATCGAGCGTATAGTTAAACCTCATACTGGTTTTTTATCATTTCATGTGATTTCGTTAATTCAAGTAAACTTACTATAGTAAATCAGGGTCACACTACTCACATTGTACGTGTAGATTTATCAATTAGTTGAGCATACATCTCATGAATAGTTTACTCACCTGAGGTTCATTAGCCAATGAATGATAGGTGAGGTCATGCATAACAGTGGCTTAGATAACATTTACAATGTTAAGATGGGGTCATATCTACTTATCACATTCGGCAATAAAGCATTATTATTTGACTGAAATTTGGAAAACACTAGTCACTTTAATTCCATAATTGTACGATATAATCTAAAGGTCCAAGTTTCTTTTACATAAAGAATAGATTTTTTAGTTTGTTGAGGTATCTAAGAACAAGGTTAACAAGATGACCACTGCTGGTTGATTCCCTATGGTCCCAAAACTAATAAAGTTTGTGTGTGATCAAATACATTTTAATTATCCCTGACATTGTTTATACGCATATAAACAATAAAAGCTCTGAAAGTCAAGGGGTGAGTTCTAAAAATATTACTTCTGACAGTTATCAGTCACCTTCAGGAGTTTATAGTCTCATTTTCAGGATGATAATAATCTCTAACAAATTTCGGCTTTGTTTTATGTTGAGATACTTCCTTCACTTCACTCAGTCCGCTCCCTCTCTTCAATTTTTCATTCTGTGCAAAATCCAATTCCTACAGTTTCTTTGTAATTCTTAGATTTATTGCTATGAAAAACATCCTTAAATAGTCAAAAGACAATGATACGAACTTTAACTTCGCAGTTGTATACCTAGGCGGTTACCATTTTACTTTTTGCTAGTCATTTTAGATCCTTTTATTTATCATCTTGTCTATTATCAAAACGATTGTATGTATCATTCTGATCCCATTCAAGTTTCATTTCATCCTTACTGCTTCCATAGCTTCAAACTATTATTATTATATTTCTTATTTGAAAATATTCCCCTCTCTTTAATAACTTCTCATATTCCTATGATTCTATTAATAATTGTTTTTGATATCACTTCATTTCATTGAACCCCTCTATTATTTTTTTAATCAGTGTAACAAAATCATTTTAATTATCTCACTCTACCCACATTATATTTAAATGCTAAATGGTTAATTTTACAAGGCTCTCAATTCATATATGTTTCAAATAAACTTGATAATTGAACGTGTAATAGTTTACGAAAGGTGGAATCTTCGTGCTTCAAAAGTATCTACTGTTTTTCAACTATAGTACGATTTAAAAGCTTTGGCTGATGTATTAGTCAATTCTTTTTTAGTCTGTATACTTATCAGGTGAAATTTTTTGAGCACAAGTAGCTACAATTATCCTGGTCACTAGAAATCAATTTACAAATACAACAATATACAACTTTAATCATAGTGGATAAGTTCAAATTGTTAAACTATACAAAAGGATACAAAAAAGGCAATCAGTCAAGTGAGAAGATTGTTATTATAACTCATTAATTGAATACATATGTGTATTTTAGGTAGGATACTATTCAGATGCCTAAATTGAACTTGTCTGCTCCATAAAACAGAGTTGCTAGATGATGTTTTAAATTAATAATTGGATATATTTATTCATTAATTTATTTATATATTTAATATTCCAATGAAACCGGGTTAAGTTGAAAGAGTAAATTCGACTAAAAACATGTAAGCTGTTTTAATAAAAAGAATAATATAAGTATAAAATGACGATAGTTATAATAATGATAATATTAATGGTGAAAATAATGATTTCATTTGTTTCTTTTTGGTGGAGTTTTGTTCTCTGATCAAACCTTTCAGCTCAGGGAAGAAAAACTCCAGCAAAATCATCCACCGGATCTGCAAATCTTCTACACCATCTCAAAATTATCTTATTTTTTTTTACACCATTAAATTTAGCCTTCGCAACATATGTATATGTATCATAGATATTACCGGTTATTCTTATTACAATGAACAAAGTTATTCTTAACGTTGAAAATTTCTTATTTAGTACATCA